CTGATTCGGAGAACATTTTTTTTTTACAATTTAGGTACTAATTATTTCAAAAGTTTTACAAATGACATTAAAAAGATACGATATTAATAAACTGTGTTGTAGCAAGATTCAGTGATCTGTGGTGGGTCAACAACCCACATCCACAAACGTTACCCAGCTGTAATCGTGGTTTCTACAACTTCGGAGAATTTAAGAAATACTATATTTAAATGGCTTTTTTCCCACTAACTCACTAGTATAAGCGAGGTAAAATCTTTAGTTAAGAGAAACTTGGAGGAAGAGATAATTGTTGGCTTTTCATATTAGCCATCCCTAACAATTTTTTCCATGGAAGTCTTTTGGGCCAGGAGATGTGTATGACGGGGCACGAAACCTGACATAACGTCTTACCTCATTGTCATAGCTCTCGTATCTTAGGCAAAAAAGAACATTTTAAAAGATTTTTCAACCTTTTTGTGACAGAAAACTACGTTTATCTAATCGCCTCCTGAACCGATTTTATTCGTCTCACGTCTCATCGTCTCTAATTGTACATTTAATTTCTTAACTAATTTCCTTAACTAACTATTATAGGCTGCAAACCAATAAATTCACTCTTACTATATGTATATGCAGCTATGAAGAACAAATTTTATATTATTAATAATTACGTAATAAAATAGATTTTCTTATTAAATGAGGCATTCGTATTATGCGAGGATACAAAGGCTGATACCATTTTTAATTACAGATATCCACAATGAGAAATATTTCGTATTTTGCATCTAAAGGTTGAATGCAATGACTAGTGTTACGAAATACTCCCTTAGAAGCATCGGGAGTCTCATCGTTGCAAGTCAAAGCACATGGCTTTATTGCGTAAACGTGACCTCTGCCGTTTTGGAGAAATTTCACGCAAAATATGCTAATTCCTCACTATTCCGCTAGACGCTGTGGTTTTTTGGCAGTCAAACGCAAAGAGAAATTCACTTTCGTTGATACAAGTCGACGCCATGCCATAAATAAGACACATCTGGGACTACTCTATTCGTCATGGAATCTTTCAAAAATACTTTCTTGCGGATGTTGTGTAATGATTCGTTCTATATGAACTAACCACAGTAGAATGTTTAATCTTCTATATATATATAAGACTTTTAAGAATGTTTTCAATTGCCACGTACGTAACATTCCTTTCATCGTTTAAGCACCAACAGCTCTCACAAAGAACAACGAAAATTCGGTGATCTGGAAATGAAGAATATTTTAGCGATTAGGACACATGCCGTGGCCACTAAATTTGAGACCGGTTTGATATGATAGAATAATGAAGCTACTCTGAGATGTTCTAGGGGTTATGCAATCGTGCAACATAAGCACGAGCCTACTGTTCAGCGATTTTCGAAACTTTCCGCTATCTTATTAAATTGCGTAAATTGCACAATGAACAGTGCACTGAATAATCCAAATAATATTTCCTTCAACACTACCTTGTCAACAGACCAGATATTTGGTAAAATGAGTTTTGAATCTTCGTTTAAGGACTCTTATGTGCCGCAGTATTAGGTGCAAATAAGGAAATCGCTGTGGCATCTAAGAAGTACGCATTGCAATACTATATCTAGATCAGCAAGGGAACTCGTGTATTTTCCGCTAGCCACCAACATAATGCCTTTGATGTCAAGTTCTTTCATATTCATGCCAATTAACCCTAAAATAAAACCCCATTATCCGTTGGGTTATGTCGTCTACGATCATCTTTAGCAATTCTAACGGCATAAATTTCCTGTGTCCTATATTAGTGTATCCTGCATTAGTATCAGCAAAAATGCTGCTGAATAAAGACACACAAAATAGTTTTCCAAAACGCAGAACGCAACCTGTTCAAGAACCTTAAAAAAAAGCTCTCGTACAACACCACAATAAATTTAATATTTTAATAAGACAAGTCTTCACGAATACTGCAATGACATAGTGTAGGTAAAGTGCAGGTCCAAATTCCCTCCCATATATATAATGTACTTCACCACGATTTTTCTTCATGTTCTGTAGTTAAAAAACAGGATCACCTGATTTATTTTGATGACAACTATGACAATTAAATCATTCTAATTTGAATGCACTTTACACTTCAAAGTCTCTGTTACGTATATGGTTTGTAAAGGGGAAACGCAAACTGTTAGAGTTGCAAAGATAATTTATATTATCACAAGTTATAGTATTGATTGTAATACCACGAAGAGAAAAATACTAATTTAAAAAGAAAACAAAGAGGAAGATTCCTTCATCACCGCCTGTATTGCGAAGTGACGTTTTATTACAAAAAACCAGTCTGATGAAACTTCGCTTGTAACATTTTCTGCAAAGAAGATATGAGAAGAATTACTGAAAATCTATTTATTTTATTTATTTATTTATTTACATCAAAAACAGTTAAAAACTATGTGTAATGTGCTACGAGAAGATGGAAATTTGAAGTTACATTTGTCTTGTAATGGGAATTTATCTTACATAAATCCACCTGTCCATTTAAGTAATCACATGAAAATGCAATTTTGTTCTTATTTTGGAGCGATTACTTCCATGTAAATTGTTGAATACTCATTGTACAGGATAGTGTGAATTTAAAAATCGCACATGTTCTTCACGATAAACGAAATGCTAATCAATTGTTTGGAAACGTCTACGTACGGGTTAAATACCTTTCCCTTGTTCGGATCTCACAGTGGTTGAGAAAGTGTTTCCCCAACTGACAAAATTGAAAACCGAACTTGCCGAAACAATGCCTTGAGCTGAGTTAGTACACTCTACTAATCAGGACACAGCTTGGAAATTCCAACTACGTTTTCGAGATCTCAGTACCTTTTGTAGTATCCGCGATGTTATCAAGATTTCTTGAATCTAACCCCTGAACTGAGTTACGTGAGAAAACGTGAAATTCCGTTGAAATCGGTGAGCTTCTGAAAATGGAGTTTCAAGGAGATACGCGATCATCTTGATCAGGTAGCTTGTAATTACACTATAGCGAACTGCAAGTTGCCAATAGTTATTTGTAATATACCTGCGTCTCTATACACTCTAATTAACAATAAGGTTTTTAAAGGGTTTAAGTAAGTTTCTAGGAACATCCGAAGTTATTTTTTCCCAGCAACACTCCCATATATACTTATCCCATGACCACTAGTAGTAGAAGTAGTTATAAAATTTGAATAATTTTATTCACAACACTTTTGGATTTAAAATATGGTAGGATTAGTTGTTGTTGTTTTTTGACAAAGTTATCCTGATAATTAGACTTTGAGGATCTCCTGTAATAAAGAAATAAAAATTCACGAACAAAAGAAAATAAAGTCGCGGCAGTTATATCTCTTACAATAGAGGTTTCCTAGGTATTTTTAATGAATCAATAGTGTTATAATATTCCAGCCTTATCACAAATATTGTGCTTGATAAAATATTAATACTTAGAAAATGTTACTTTAGAGTGTCGATTTCGCAAAATGTAATAAGTAGCACAATCCAGAAATATTTCATTTAGTTCACAAAAATATTTCCAAACTCCCACATTCCACGAACATGAAACAGGAGTAGAATTCAGTCGTGAGCATGAATTGTGAGTCAGCGAACGAGTGTTTAGTAAGTCCGCGCGAGTCAACTTCTATGGTCGTTAGTCCCGTAAATGTAGTGTGTTATATTCCTGGAGGTGGCGAAGACTGAAGGTGGTTCCTCCCCCTCTTAAACGTGAGCAACGACGCTGACCTACACTTCCGCTTACGGAAGTTTTCCCTCCTACAGGTATCTTTCCCATCGGGGTTCGGCTTAAGCTCGGATATGCTATGCTCCCGACTGGCCTCCTAAAGTGTGTTATAGAGCGGTTTTATAAGAATGAGCCAAAGTGACAGTTTCGCTAAACAAGTGAACATCACGTATAATTCAGCGAAATATCCCTCCGCAGCGGCACCTGTTCAGTCACGCCTCTTCGTTTGTTTACGGTCCCCGTGAAGACATACCGAGATCTAAGAGTTTCGCTGAGGTATGTGTAAGTACGCAAGTCCGGAAAATATTGAAATTCGAATACGTTCGTGGCAAAATGTCTTAAAATTTCTCGTGGCGCACTATATTTTTGTAGGACGAGGACATAAAAAAAGTAAACGTCGAAGCCATTTACAAGTTAGCCAACTGCAAACGAACAAAAGAAGGAAAGAGAGAAAATTGATCTGAAAGAAACAACGACCACAGAACCTTCAGTTGTGTTGCCAGCACTAGCTGTGAAAACTGTCCATTCTTATACAAATTCCTTTATAGCTCTACGCATTTTTGAAAATTGAAAAAAGTTATCAATTCAAAACTACCAAACTGAATATAGTATTTTTGGCCAAAAACGAAGTCTGTTCTAAAAAACTAACTCTTTGAGAAAGGTCGTGAATATTGTTTTCAAAAAACTAGTAGATTTCGCGCAATACATTTATGTAATGGGGAGTGAATTATCTAAGATTTTCATTCCCATCAATATCTACAATCAGAAGTTCATTTGTTGGTAAAAGTAAAAAATGACTGAATGGCTTATAATACATTCGAATCACTTACGTGAATTTATATTTTCGTAGAATTTTGAAGCGTGTTGAGTGAATATTGGGTGTTGATTTAGTGTTATTACAAAAAAGAATACTTTCCAAAGTTTACAATAACTGTAAATAATGCTTGAATGTATTTAAAAATCTGTTTAAAAACTTTAAAAGCTGCTTAAACGTGATTGCCAATCTGAGGAGAGTAAACAATATTATTTTACAGCATAGTTACATCATTATGTAAGTACGAGAAACTCTTGACACTATGATCATTTAATAAACTTATATTATGTAATCAAGACAGCATTCCCGTTCGTTCGCATTTTTTATGTGTTTCAGAAAATTCATACAAATTCTATTGGTGATCGATTAATAACTATGGTTTTGATAGCTAACAGAGATTGACGCGAATCAATTAGCTCTCATACCGCATGAAAATGCCAATACTTACCTTTAATTTGAACTCGACGTGTGCCCATCAGTAAGAGACGTTTCCAAACTCTTTTGTTGATACTTTGACATTCTGCAAGCAGGAATTATTTCAGATTAACAAAAAGTTACTTTGTTAAATTGAAATACACTCATAGTTCGGAATTGTATCTGTCAATGTGGAAATTGTGATAACATTTGAAGCCTTTTAACCTTCCTTGTCTGACATAAAATGGGTCTCCGGTACACTTATCACATTTGTGATTGTTACAGAGAAGCTGCAGCCTTTCGAATCTAGTAAAAAAAGCCATTTACATTCTATTGGAAGATTTGTATTTCTGATTCTTTGTGTCTGCTGTGTAATTGGTAGTGACCTTACTTTTTAATTATTTTATAAATGTATTTAAATTGGGTATTTACGAGACAAAAATGGGTTTAATCCTATTACAATGGCCCATTAACTGTCATTAATGTTTAAGTGACTACATTTAGAGTCTGGTAAGTTGGTACCTTTCTTTTCTAGAGATCCAATTATATTTTGCACAGGCACCTTATATACTATTTGTTCTGGAGTCTGTAAGGAGTCACTTGTACTGCCTGCATGCACTGAGATCTTTTATGGCCTGGTTGCGTAGCCCTAACACTCACTAACCTTTTGAAGGTGAACGCTTTCTCCAGGTTAGGGGGCTGATCTGCCAGCTGGCCGAGCTGTATGTTCATGGTCAAGGCACTGACTTCGGGCTCATGTTGTAGATGTGAAGTTTGTTCCTGGACATCCATATCTTCCGGGTTGACACTATTTAGAGAGATGGAAGATACACAATCGATGTCCGTCCAGAGTTTGTACAGCGACGCATACTACTTCGCGCGTTTGGATTGATTGCGGAGTCCATTGATTCGCTATAAGATGTTGTACTTCGCAATTCGTAAAACTAGAACGTATATGGCAAACACTTCACTGTTTATATTTCCTCAAATACTCTGTATGTTTTAATAATATTACAAGTAATTACTGTGAGAAAGTAAGAGACTGCGGTATGTTGCGGAGAAGCGAGTGTCTGAGGTCACTTGCTGATGTATTACACCTGGCGCCGGCGTGGTTGGAGATAACACTGATTTGAATGACTACTTCACCTGACCTGGAAGGGTTGTAGCAGAGCTGCGGAGCACGACCGAACTCGACTGCGGACCGATAAGGAATAATATACCAACGACACTGCGATTTATTTACAGTTGACTCTGACAGGCCATCTGCTGGCACGGTGTCATCCAATCAGGAGCTAAGCTGACAATGAACCTTTCAATTAGATGACATCAGCTGATATACTTCAGAGGCAGCTCTAAATAGAGCCAAATATTGCTTACTTTCCAGTCCTTCAGAGAATTCATATCATTTTGGCACAAAATAGCAAGTATATCCGTTTTGTAAATTCAGAGGAATATTTCCAGTCACATCGCCTTTAGACCAGCCTCGTCTTATTAAAAAATGTTATCAAAACAATATGTGCAACAACTAAAAAATTTCAAAATGGAAATAAACATATCATTGATACGACAATATTATTACACCTCGTCAATATTAATTACATTTGAGTCCACATGCACTTTCCGAATATTCCTTATTAACAGGTGAAATTAACTTACGAGCTTTCATTATGTCATCAAAGAGCACAAATACCAAACATTTTAATGTCTTATTTTTTAGTGCACTATGTTTAAAGTTTACCTTTCTCGCCCATTAATAAACAAATTACGACCACGCGACACGTCGAAGCAGGCCACATAGTTTGTGTGAGGACTGCTTTTTATTACCGCTGAAACAATAAATGTTCTTGTTGGATTATTCAATATTAGTATAAATCTTATAAACTAAATTCCTACAATTAGAAAACGTCTTTGCTTACCTCTAGACTAGTGGAATGTGGTATCGCCGACGCTTTAAACCATTTTAAAAATATTTACGTATGTTGACAATTTATATTATACAAGTTGTAAATAAAAATAAACTTTAAACATACTTGTCTAGTACATACATACTGGTTGTTTTATCCTCGCGGGCACGACGTAAAAAATATGTTAAGAATTACAATTAAATAATAATAATAATAATAATAATGATAATGATAATAATAATAATTACAAAAAATGTGTGTTTTCAACTCTTGTTTTGGGATGATCTTTCCGGATACGGCCACTACCTACCCCCAAAATAGGTGCTGGAGAACCTTTTCCGAACACTCCTAAAATATTTGATTTGAAGAGTACCTTTTTTCAGGTATTTTCAGGAGTCTTATTAAAGACAATTTGCACATTTGCAATTTCATATTTTAAAAAATTTCGTTTCAATTCTTATACATTTATATTAGAATATAATTGTGTAGTTGAAATTATCATGCAAAAGGAGTTTATTACATTAGCACAATCGAATGCAACAGATACAATTATCCTATCAAACGATAGTTATCCTACAGCGTGGAAGCTCTAACGATGAACCTTTCCCTTTCGAGTGATGCAAATCCTGTTCCGCATACTGTGAAGAGCGGCGTCCAGGAGAAACAATATCTAGTGGTTGGCGCGGTAACCGCTAGATCGCAGCGCTAAAAAAATACGTTTTAGAACAAATTTCTTAAAATCTTTCGAACATATTCAAAAACAAATCTCTTCCCCATCAGGAGACTGAATCACATCCAACGACGATACCTCATTTGTCTCGATTGGTGAACGGGAACGAGTGTAACCGTCAGTGACGGACGGACGCACGCAGGATATTCTAATAATATATAAGCGGGGGCGGATCCACGTTGGGAGGGGAAATTCAAAATGTTTTCGTCAAATTTGTATATAACAGATTTTGTGAAATGTCGCAGGCAACGCTCAACTCATACTGCGATACTATTTTATTTGTTTTAATGACAATCCGTAAAACGTTTGCTTGAAAGTCTCGTGACAAGTTAAAATTAATAGTTAGTGGAAAATTTTAGAAGGGGGTGGGGTTCCCTCATTTTCTCTCCTTGGATCCCCGGATATATAAGAATATTGTTTGATTTTGGTAGCCTTTTTTTTACTTTGTTCTACAAATAATATTACAAATAATTTTCACCAAACAGTAACTTGTAACCTTTAAGATATTTTTATTGGAACAGTACGTTTTTTCACCATATCCCATAATCTTTGCGAACTTGTAATATTTTATGTATTTATAAGAAAGCACTTTACTAAAGTTATTTTGAATTGGTTGCTAAGAAGGGGTACAAGTTCTCACTTCGCTTTGATTGATTGATTCCGGGTATATCAAAGGCTTTATTCCCGTGAGTGTAATAAATGTCATTTTGCAAGAGGATATGTTCTTTCCACGCTGGAACGTGAGATCCCACGACTACCAACTACTACTACTACCGACTATGACCCACTGACTACGTCGGATTGCTGGTTTCCCTCTCAAAGTACCTTCCACATGGAGGCAAGTCGGAACCGGGAGAAGTTCTAAGTTCCAGACAGTTATCCCGACATGTGTGGTAGTGTTGCACATGTAAGTGTAAGTGTTAGCGCGTAAGGGAGAGAAGAGAGCAAGTATGAGGAAGTAAAATTCGACTGCGGTCCGAAACCCGTTTATTAAGGCATTCGCCTAATCGAAGAAACCTCAGATAATTACCGATGTGAGTAGCTGGCCGCTGGAATTCTCCAAACACTGGCTAAATTCGGCCTAGCCATTCAGCTAATGTGTAAAGTCTTCCACCGTCGGGACTCGAACCCTATGGCCTCTCGGTCAGAGTCCCTGCAGAGCTGACGCTAATGCTTTCACTGAGCCCTGTTAGACGGTTCACCTGTCACATGCTTCTTCGTTGTTCCTCTGTGATTGGCAATGAAGTTACAGACGTGTTCAAATTATTAGATTTTGTCTTTCCTGAGTTCCATGATATAATTGGAGGCAAGTGTTGTTAAGTGTGATGTTTGTGAAACATCTGGCTGATTGCACATTGTCGAAGGGACAATGAGGACATACCAATGCAAAAAAAAAATCCTTGAAAAGGATCTTTTTCCCTAAATTAGAGTGGTTCCCTAATGAATATAGAATTTTTGTGCACGATGAAGCACACTGCCATAAAGTCAAAAGTGTCTTCAAGAGTTTGGAAGAAAAACAATTATAAGTGTTATCTTGGCGACTTGATAGCTCTGACTTGAAACCCATAGAAAATTTATGGGGTATTACCAAGAGAAGAATAATGAAATATACAAGAAGTCAAGAACAAACTAGAGGAGATTTGGTACCGCGACGATGAACTTAAAAGCTCAGGTAAAAAGTTAGTAGTCATTATGCAAACAGGATAAATTTGTTGATTAAGAACAAACGTAAGCATACTAAGAGTAAGTATTAAATGCATGACTGTAACATGTACACAAATGTAAACGTGTAAAAAACGCATATATTTTACGAAAAATATATTTATTCTAATAGTTTGAACACGTCTGTACTTCCTGCCCTATACTAATCCTTTAGGAATACGATCGCCGCGCGCAGTGCCTCCACACAAGCGACACTGGAAAATCATTTCTCAAGTTGTCCCCGCAGGAGAAAGATTGAAAAAAAAGGAACGTGGGCGGAACCAGCTTCACCATCTGTCATCCGCAATGTTGCAACGTGCGGTGTCACCATGCTCATGTTCACAATGTCTACGATTCCCGTCTCGTCGTACCGGTAACCCTCTGTCCTTGCCGCCGTTACTTCCGCAGCAGTCTTCATGTTCCTGCAGCCATGAACTTGGTGACCTTGTTCGTTAGAACATTCACCTGGGCGGGGTTACTGTTTCTTTCCCTCGTCGGAATCTCCATGGTATAAAATTTATCCTCAAAGGAACTGTTATTACATAAAACGCATCTTCGAATATTTCACTGAGAAGCCGCATGAAAATAGCCATTAACAAAAATAATAACACATTCCAAGAAGTTGTTTTGCAAAGCAAAACTTACCGTGTAATTATACTCAAGTAATATTCAAACTAGCATGGTGACATGATTTGACTATGTGAATGGTCTTACAGGAAGCCATAATTACGCCACTAATCGTGCTCGATTCACTCACACGGGTTACTTGACTGTTGAGTTCCAGTAAAAGTTCAACATCTCGGCTCTCCTCTATGTCGCAATCGAAGATTTTCTCGGATTTGTTAATTTCAGAGAGCGGGAATTGGAAAGCACTAGTTCGAATGTCGCCTAATCGTCTTTCGCACCCTTGCTATCAAAGTGACACAACTCAAAAATCTTCATTTTTATGGCAGGCGAAACGTCGGCCTCTCTGCCAACGACGCGGCATCACCCGGTCAGCCTAGAAGTCGCGGAAGCCTCCGTGTACAAATGTTTCATTATTACCACAAAAATTATTCATGATTTACGGAAAACCGTTTTTCGTGATTAATGGGCTTTTGAGTTGTGGCCCTTTTGTAGCAGGTTGCAATATGCTGTTCCAACTAGGACCACGAGGAGTGTTGGGATCAATAGCTTAGTGCGAGGGCAAGTAACCACGTCGACAGGATACAACACTGACTTTCATACTAATCACGTTGCCAAACGGTGAAGGTGATTTCAACGTGAGTTTTGCGTTATACCAGTGAACGAGCGAATTATTTCCAGACATTCGGATGAAGAAAATTGTTTCATAGCGGTCATAACGAGTTTTACCATCTTTTCCTTCGCTTATACTGCCATGCTCCACGGACTTGAACCACGTACTTTTTAATGTCTGTCTTTTTAAGCACTGTCTATGGTAGGGCACGTTTTCGTAGAGAGTGCCTGAAACCTGTTGTGATAAGACAAAAGTGTTTTTTTAAACACATACAAACGCAATGGATAACTGGACCACGTGTGAAATGCAATATACAGTGTCTGGCGATTGAAAAAGTTGTAGTATGTGTTAGGACCTGGACTCCCAAAAATTTCGAAAGAGGCTCCATAGTCTCTGGGAATAAAATATTTTATTTTCGTAAATATGATACATTCCTCATTTGCTCCCTTTTAAAAATAAGAAAAAAAATGACCACATATAAAAGTATCTGGACATCATAACATCGCATTACTTTGCGATAAATTATCGCATAAATTTGCGTGATATCAAGGCAATTTCTAAACAGTTATTTTCTGAAAGACGGCACTAATTAGTTTCTTTAAATTTTCTATTTGTATGTATAAAAAACTGTGAAAATGGTGCCAGTCGCATTTTCTGTGAACTCCGAAATCGTTTTCGTGATTAATGGCTATTGAGTTGTGGCCCTTTTGTAGCAGGTTGCAATATGCTGTTCCACCTAGGACACGAGGAGTGTTGGGATCAATAGCTTAGTGCGAGGGCAAGTAACCACGTCGAAGGATACAACACTGACTTTCATACTAATCACGTTGCCAAACGGTGAAGGTGATTTCAACGTGTGTTTTCCGTTATACCAGTGAACGAGCGAATTATTTCCAGACATTCGATGAAGAAAATTGTTTCATATCGGCCATAATGAGTTTACCATCTTTTCCTCTCGCTTATACTGCCATGCTCCACGGACTTGAACCACGTACTTTTTAATGTCTGTCTTTTTAAGCACTGTCTATGGTAGGGCACGTTTTCGTAGAGAGTGCCTGAACCTGTTGTGATAAGCACAAAAGTGTTTTTTTAAACACATACAAACGCAATGGATAACTGGACCACGTGTGAAATGCAATATACAGTGTCTGGCGATTGAAAAAGTTGTAGTATGTGTTAGGACCTGGACTCCCAAAATTTCGAAAGAGGCTCCATAGTCTCTGGGAATAAAATTTTTATTTTCGTAAATATGATACATTCCTCATTTGCT